GACATCCACAAACAAATACAAGACAAGCTTATGTCGTCACTTTTCGAATGGTAATTGTTAATTAGGAAATGCATGTCATTTTGCACATGGCGCAAACGAATTAAGGGGTGCAAACGATCCAGCTCCTATGAATACTCCGATTTCTTAACCTAAGGTATTATGTAATAACTTTAAGACAGTAAAATGTTAATACTTTTAGAAAGGATATTGCAAAAATTAGAATGCATGTTCTTTTGCTCATGGTGATAACGAGTTACCAGGGAATATGGCAGCGGCGGGACAAAATCCATTTTTGAGTGCTTAAGACTCTATATTATTGGTTTCTATTATTTCAAATTTGGAATAAGTTTTTTAGAATGACCAAGGTGTATTGAAAAAATTATAGATAGCCCAAGGATATGCTAGATAGAGCGAATAATAAAATGCTTGGTAAATTATTAATGAAATTATGAAAGACCCAAGTAGAAGTGATTCGGAAAAATAATAATATTAAACTATTTGTTCGAATGCTTAGATTTATTACTAAAATATGTATAATTAATAATAAATTATGAGTTAATAATATAGTGGAACTCCTTTTAATTAAGGTTTAAATTAATAATTTAATCAAGCTTTTAATCATTAGTATTATTTAGGCATGTAATAGTAATAGTAATTAGGAAAAAGCCCGTTTTGAAAAGAAATATTATTTATATTAAAAAGAATAAAAAAATCGATTTTTTTTTTTTAATCAAAATATTATATAATATATAATATATAATATAATATATTTATATATTTATATATATATATATATATATATATATATATAATATAAATATATAAAATATTTCTATCTATTTAAAAGGAACTTTTTTTTTATTTAGTATTATGTTATTTTTTCAATACAAAAATTTGAAATAAGGAAAAAAAAAAAAAAAAATTAAAATTAAAATTATTATTATTATTATTTATATGTAATAATTTTTAATTTTTTTTTTTTTTAAAAAAAAAGGATATAAATTATAAAAAGTAAAATTATTATTTATTTAATTATAAATAATTTCATATAAGTTTTTTTAAGATGTTGAAATAACTTATTCAAAAAAAAAAATATTTTATTTTTTTGTATTATTATCGATTTAATTTTCATTAACTAAGATTAATAATTATTTAAACTATTTAAGATTGTTATTTAAAGAAAATTAAATCAAATTTTAATCAAATTTTCAAATAAATATATTATATAAAATAAGAATATATATCAATAATATATTTGATTTCACATGAAATATATAAGAAGTCACAAAAACTACATCTTCATTTAATTTGTATTAAATAATAAATAAATTTCGAATATATGATTTCATTAAATAAATTTTCTATATTTTAAAATTTTTTAATATTATTTATACTTTCTAAATAAAAATTAATAATTTTTTGAAAGATTTATATAAAATATTTTTTTATATAATTATATTCCTGTTTTTTTCAATATTTAATTCTTTATATATGTGTATTATGAAGTTAATATATATAGTTATATTAATATATATATAAATACTAAAAAAAAATATAAAAATACATAATGATTAATATACTTAGTTTATATAAAATAAAGAATAAAGAAAAGAATTAACAAAATCTAAGTTTCTAAAATAAAAAATAATTTAAATAATAAGAAAATAATTAAATTTTTATACTAAAAATTAAAAATATAAGATGAAAATATAGAAATTAAAAAAAATAATAAAAAATTAGTATCTTAAACTTATATATTAAAAGGTATATCCATTAATAATATTAATTATTTAAATATCAATTAAATTAATAATATTAAAAAATATTCTTTTTTTATTTATTTGTCATATAATAAAAAATAATATCTAAAAATAATTATTTCTATCTATAATACAAATGAGTTATAAATTAATTTAAATAATATAAATATATATAAATGTGAAAAAATATATATATATATAATATTTATATAAATTATTTTTTAATATTTTTATATAATTAAAAATTATTATTGTATCCTTCTAAATTATATTTAGTTTTATACTTATTCAAAGTTTTCAATAAAACAATAAAATAATATTTCGAAACTCTATATTTTTATTAAAAACATTTTTTTATTTACAAAATAATTGAAAAAAATATACGGCATAATAAATTAAAATATACATAATTATGTTATTTTTATTTTTATTTTTTTTATATTTTACATTAGATATAATATTTAAGATATTATTTTATAATTATATTTTAAATATATAATATTTATTTTAAAAAATATTTTTTAAAATTATTATAAACATTTGTCTTGTATTTATATATTTTATTATTAGCTAAATTTATATTTATTATTTTTTAAATAAAAAATATTTAAATATATATTTATTTCAAAATAAAATATATATATTATTTTTTTATTTTTTATTACATAATTTTTATATATTTATTATTCTTTATATTATTTTAATATACATTGTATAAATATTTTATATAATAAAATATTTTTTAATTTTATATTTATTTTATTAATATATATTTTTTTTTAATGAATCATATTATTAATGTTGAAATTAAATGAATTAATTTTTAGATTAGTTTAGTTATGTTTTTTAAGAAGCTTCTTTATATTAGCCACATCCAACGTAAAGTGAATAAGAATATTTGTAAAATATGAAAATTTTTTTAGAATAATAAGCATAAAATTTAGCAAATATTTAAAAATAAATACATTAAGAGATTGAATAGGCAGAAAATTTAGATTAAATTAATTAAGAAACAATGGATTAACAAATATAATAAGCATATAATGAAAGAAAAAAATCTTTAAAATAATTTATAGAAGCAAAAAAAGAAGCTGGTAATTTACATATTTTATTAAAATAATTTATTATTAAAAAAATATTTGTACAAAGAAAACATGAATTAAAATATGAAAACAAATATTGAAACTATAGCTAATTAAATGTTTAATTTATGAAATATTATTAAATTATAATGTAATTATAATAATAATATAATATATTTATATTTTATATTTATATTTATATATATTTAATTATATAAAATATATTTTAATTATATTTATAAATATTTTATATTTTTTTTTATTTAAATTAAATATTAATATTTTTTTTTCATTTTATTTAATTTTTAATCTTACACTATTTATTCTTAAAAAAAAATTTTATAATGATATATTTAGCTTTTAATTAGAATCTTCAAAAATTATAATAAAGTTTACTTAAATTTGATATTTTATTATAATTAAATTTCTATTTTAATAATAATAATATAATTTAATATTATATTACGTTAATATATATAATTTTAAATAAACTAATTATAATTTATTTAATACACTAAATATCTTATTTATTTTTAATTATCTTAAATTAGTTTTTTTTTTAAATACAAATTATTATAATCTATATATATTGATAATATATTATTAATTCATTTTTTAATCTTTTTATTTTGAAAAATAAACTTTTAAATTTAAATTATGAATATTTAACAATCAAATTTTTTATTTTAAATATAATATAATTATTATATTTTTTAAAGCATGTAAATAAATTAATATTAATATAATCTTTATATAATATACTTAATAATACTTATATATTATTATTTTATTCTTATTTTTTAATAAGTGATTATTATTAATTATATTCTTTATATATTTTTTATAAAATATATTTTTTTAATATCAACAATTAATTAATTTTCTTTTAAATATATATTTTTACAAAAATATTTATAAATGATATATATTAGTTAATTATATTAATATTTTTATATTAACTTTTAAAGAATCTATATTATTATTTATTTATATTTATTATGACTTTTTTCATTTATATTTCAATTAAATATACATAGATACATTTTTATTTATACTATTATTTGTTAGTTATTTATTTGAATATAATATAAACTTATTATTTAATAATTTATGTAAATTAAGCTATATAAACTTTTTTTTTTTAATTTTTTTATAAAAATATAATAAAATTAATATACAATAATTTATCATTAAACATAATATTATTTAAAATACAAATATTTATAATGAAAAATAAATTAATTCTAGTATATAAATATCTTTATTTTATTTAAAAATACTTCTTTAATTTTTTTTATTATTATATATATACTATTTTACAAAATTAATACTAATTTAATAGTATTAAATTTTATATATTTTAACTGGAATTTTATTTCTTATTATGTAAAGTAATTTTATGTCAATTACTCAAAAAAATAAAAAAGGATGGGATGTCTATTTTTTTTTCTTTTCTATAATTATCAAATGCTTTATTATATTCTTATTTTTTATTTTTTACTTTATATGTTTTTTTGTTTTCGAAAAAATAATTTCTTTAAAATATTTAAATTAATTTATTATTTTTTAATAAATATATATAAAAAAAATATATTAATTTAATTAATATAATTATTTTATTTTTAAATATATAAAAAAGGATATATGTCATATTATTTAATAATATCATTAAATTTCATAAGAATAATCATATATTTAAGCTTAGCTTATAATTTGATATAGTTATGTTAAAAAAATATTTATTTATTATTCTTTTTAGACCCTAAATGCTCTATATTAGTAAATTGAATTTTAGGATTAGGGTTTATAATGATTATTGGATCATTAATTTATTTAATAATAATAATTTATATAATTTAATTATAAATTAGGCGTAGAATACTATTTTAAAGGGAATACAAAATTTTAAATTATACGGATTTTTCTTTTTCTATTGTCGTTGTTGTTTTTTCTTTCGGAATGCTTTTAGGATATCAATAAAAATGCGGGGAATTTTCAAAAATTGTTTCGTATTTTTTAATTTTTTTTGGTTACCTTTGGTTATTATTGTTTTAATTTTTTTAATTATTTTAAGAAGAGAATATGTCTTTATTATGTAATAAACTATACATTAAGCTGAAATCGAATTAACAAGATAATTTGGGGAACTTAATACTATATGAATATATATATTTTGGGTTTTTATTTTAAAGAAAGTAATTTTAAATAAAGAAAGAGAATGTATATACGTTTTATTTTTTCAATAAAAAGATGAATATAAAAAATTAAAAAAAGATGATTTTTATTAAATAAAATGTATTTATATTTTTTTTGTTTCATTAAATATGTATTTTTTTAAAAAAAAAGATTTAAAAAATATATTGAAAAATATTAAAAAAAAAAAAAAAAAAATTAGAATGAAAAAAACTATAGATTAAAAAACAGCTTAATAAATAAATTAATTAATTGAAGAACTTAAAAGTGAAGATTAAAAGAAAAAATTAATTCAATTTAAAATCTTTAATTTATTTCGAATGGTTTAGGTCCTGAAAGAACTCGTATAGAACTTATCCCATTTTTAAATAGTAAAAAAAAATTAATATATATATTTATTTATATATTAAAAAAAAAGCTCTAGAAGATGATGATGATGAAATATTGTTAAATTTAGCGGAAAATATAGGAAATTTATTTGATTAAATAGGCGGTTCTTAGCATACTGAATTATTATTTAAAATTTTATAAAATTTATGTAAATCTGACGAATTATTTGTTAGAGATAAAGTATTTTATTAATGTTTATTATTTGTTAAAAAAAAAGGCAATTAACTCAATAAAAAATATAATTAATTAAATGGATATAAAAAAATATGAAGAAATAATAGTTAAATTTATAAAATAAATGTGTGAATGTGAAAATTATTTTTCTATAGAATGTTGTCCTGTTCTAATAATATTTATTTACCCATTGATTTCTTTATAAAATTAATAAGAATTAAATACGTATTTTTGTTAATATTTATATATTTAATAAATATATAAAATAATATATATATATATATATATATATTTTATAATTATTATATTAGATATTATTTGAATTTTTCATAAAATTAAATATCTTAAATAAGAAAAAGTGCATCATTATATATTAAGGTATTATTATATATTTTTTATTTATTTAATTTTATTTTAAGGATTTTTCTAAAATATTATTACCTAAAAATGAAGATTTATTAGTTTAAATTATTAATAATTTAATTAACGATGAGTAAGATTTTGTAAGAATTTATTTAATTGATGCATGTATATGTTTTTTGAAGTTTTAATAGAATATAATATTAGTATTTTATATATATTTTTTTTATTAATATATATATATATATATATATATATATATATATAATAAAAGAAAAATAATAATTAAATTATATTCTTTATGAGATAATTAGCCGAAGATAAATCATGGAGATTAAAATATTATTTTAATGAAAAATTAAATGAAGTAATTACATAATATTAAAGTATATAAATATAATAATTAATTAAATTAAAATGTTTATTTAATATATATATAATTATAAATATATTTATATATATAATATTATTAATAATTATTTATATATTTTTTTTAATGAAAGATATGTTAAGTTATTTAAAAATAAGATTTTAAAAAATATTTTTTACCTATTTATATTGGATATTTGGAAGATTCTGAGTCTGAAGTATTTTTTAGTTTTTTTTTATTATAAAATATGTTTTATTTTGCAAATTAAGTTAAAATAAATTGCAGCTTAAAAAATTGATATTGTAGGAAGTTGTTTAGATAATGATGAAATTATAAACAAATTGATACCAATAGTAAAAAAATTAGCAATAGATAATTAAAATTATATAAGAAGTATATAATTTAAAATATTATAAATATAAATAAAAATATATATTTATTTATATATATATATATATATATTATTTTTTATATTTAAAGATGCTATTTGTGCAAGCTTTTTAGGATTAGGTTAATACATAGGAAAAAATAATATAAATGAATATTTATTGCCTATTTTTTTATAATTATTAAAAGATGAAGATAGTGAAATACGTGTTACTTTATTTAAATAATTGCATTTAATTAGTAATTTTTTGGGAATAGAAAATTTATCTTAATCAATTTTGCCAGCTCTAAATTAACTTGCTTAAGATAAAAATTGGAGAATAAGAAATTAATCAATTGAAATTATTTAATTTTTAGCAAAAGAAATAGTATAAATAATTTTTTATAAATAAATATTAAAAAAATATACATTACTTTTAATTTTATAAATATTTAATAGGGATAAGAATTTTTAAATGAAAAAATACTAAAATTAATATTAGATTTATTATAAGATAAAGTTTTTGTTGTAAGGTAAATTTTGTATTCCTTTAAATAATAAAAAATTATAAAACTTATATATATTAGGGATTAAGCTGTTTAATCTATAAAATTTTTTACATAAAATCTTGGACTTGCATGGACTGATAAAAATTTAATTTAAAAAGTGTTTAATTTTTATTAATAAAATATTTTGTAACATAGAGAAACTATTTTATTTATTATTATAGTAAATTAATATATATATAAATTAATAGATTTATATTTTGATTATATTATTATTAGAATATTTCTAAAAATATTAATTAAGAATATGTTTAGAAATAAATCATACCTATAATTATTTAATTAAGTAAAGATTAAGTACCTAATATAAGAATAAATGTTGGAAAAGCTATAAAATAAATTATTCCTTATATAAAGGAGAAAGTATATAGTAAATTATTAATATTAAAATATAATTTTAAAAAAGGAATAAATAAAAAAAATATTAAATAATTTGTATGATGATTAAGATTCTGATGTTAAATATTTTGCTAAAATAGGGTTTAGATAATTTATGAAAAAATATATATATATAAATGAAAATATATATATTTATATAAATATCTATTTTATTTTGTTTTATATAATTATATTATTTATATAAGAAATAATTATTTTTATAAAAATAACTAATAAATATATTTTTTTTTTAAAAATAATAAAAAAAAGAAAATATGTATATTTTTTAAATTATTATTTTCTAATTTTTTTTTTTCTATTAATATTTTTTTTTTAAAATAATTATAATAATTCAACAATTGTCACATCTGAATATATGTAATTTGACTGGTCCTTTACTGTAAGCGTGATGTGCACCAATACCTGCGAAAAAATAGCTCCAAAATCTAGGGTGTTTTAGAAATATACCAACAACAGAGCCTACTGCAGCTCCCCCTAATGAATATGTAAAAGTATCAATAAATAACTTATTCAATAATGGATCTCTTTCTCTTAATTAATGTGTATTTTTATATGTGAAATGTTAGAAATTATTTATGTTATCACTATTATTATTATTCATTTTTATTATTATAATTATATATTTTATAATAAATATCTTTTATATATATAAATATTATTTTTATATTTATAATTATTAATTTTTATTTTTATTTTTATTTTTTAAATAAAAATAAGATTTTTTTTAAATTTATATATGTAATTTTTTTTTCTATATAAATATAATATTTTATATATAATTTTTTTCTTATTTTATTTAAGTAAAAAAAATATGTTAAATAATATAAAAAGATGATTTATTAGAATATTTTTCCTTTAAAAATTGGTATAATAAAATAAACTATAATGATATTTCTTTTTTATTTTAATAGAAAAGGTTTTCTATTGTAATTTAGTTAGACTATTTTGACAAAATATAAAAATAAATGTCCTGATATTTAATTTTAATTATATAAATATTAATTCTTATAATGAAATACAAAATTAGATAAAAACAATGCTTTTGTGTTAGATATATTCATATTTTTTAATGTAAATTTAGATTCAAAGATTTATTTATAAAAAAAAAATTTAAAAAAGCTTTGTATATGAATATATAATTAAGATATTTTATGGATATATTATTCATTAAAAAAATAAAATATTATTCAGTTTATAAATTTTTAAATGATTTTTAAGTGTAAAAATAGGTAATTTTTTTAATTCTATATAAATATATAGATATTCAAAATAAAAAGGTATATTAGTATATGCTTATATTCTTAATTTTAAGTTTATAATAAAATTATAATTTTTAATGTAATCAAGATTTTTTTTAAATTACATTTAAAAATATAAAAAAATAGTTTTATGATAAAATAAATATTTGATGATAAAATATATAATGAAACTATTTTAAATTGGTATTAAAATATTTAATTTAATAGTTGAGATACTTTTTAAGGTTTTATATGTATATGTATATTTAAATATATATATATATACATATATATATATATATATATATACATATACATATACATATATAAAAAAGGTTTATATTTTTTATATATATACATGATAAATAAATTAATTAATTTTTGTTATAAGTTTTAATTCTTTATATTTATTTTAGTTTATATATATTTTTTTTTATATAATATTTGCGTTTACATAAATAATAAAAATTTTCAAAAGTTTAAATATATATTTTTTTGCATCAATAAATATTAAATAAAATTTACATAATTGCTATATATATATAGGAAAGAATAAATAACATTTTATTAAATTGATTCGTATATAAATTTTTATTTTTTATATTTAAATCATTACCATTTATAATAAGAAAAACTAAATTAATGTTAATAAAATCTATATTAATTTTTTTAATATATTTTTTTTTATTAGTTATTTAATTAAGTATAATGTTGAATTATATCATTTAAAGAATAAAATGAATATTTTTACGGAAATAATGATAATAATTAAAAGGAAATTCATTTCTTTTTTTTTTTTTCAAATAAAAAATAATGGATATAATTGTATATATAAGAAAAAATATATCGTTTTTAAATTTTACTAAATTTATTATTTGTAGTTTTAAAATGATAAAACTTTAAAAGAGATTATAATGGACGGATTTTTAAGGTTTTATTAATAAAAAAGTAAGACATTATGAAAATTCTTATGTCCAAAGCTAATATAATATATAGAATATTTGAAAAAAAAATTGTAAAGAGAGTTTTTTTAAAAAACTTTTAAATTAAAAAAATAAATAAATAACTCAAGTTTATTTATTTTTATGAAAATAAGAAATGGAAAACGAAGATTTTTTTTTTTAGAACAAAATTTTTGTTTAACAAAAATGAGAAAATAATAAAATGACTTTTTTTTTATTAAAAAATTTTATTAAATTTTTGAAATAAATTTAGTTTTTTGATTTATATAGATTTCTAAATATATTTAATTAGAAAATATATATATATTACTTTATAATTTTAATTATAATAAGGCTTTTATTTTCTAAATCAATTATTTTGTATAAACTAATGATTTTTTACAAATATATTGATTTTTATTAGGGAAATATATTACTCTATATAAAAACAATTAAAAAATAAAATAAAATATATGGTTAGTTTAGATGAAAATTATTAGTTATTGACTACTTAAGATATTATATATTTAAAATAAGTAGATTATTTTAGAAAAAGTTTATATAATAGTAAATTTTTAAAGATATTTTAAAAAATATAAAAGAGAATTTTTTGTTAAATTAAATTCGAATTTTAAATTCTAAACAAAAATTCATAAATAAAAATAATTTAAAAAAAAAAATTAAAATAGTAAACTTTTTCTTAAAAAAATAAACTATATATTTTAAATCTGTAATAAAACTATAAAAAACAAGTTATTAAATTCCAAAAAAAATTATATTAACTTTTTCTAATAAAATTAGCAATAGTTTTATGTATTTTAATAATATAGTTTATATAAATTCTGTAATCAATTTATTATTATAAATCAATAATTTATATTTTAGAATAATATAGCCTTTTAAGGCTGGGAAGTGTAAATTAGTACAATTTTAAATTTATAATGTGGGCTTTTATGTATATAATAAATGTAAAAAGAAAATTATATTCTAATAAAAATAATAAAAAGGATAAAATATAAATAAAATAAAAAATTTTGCAATAAATCATTAATTTATAATTTTTAGAAGTTTAGTTTATATATTAAATAAATTGATATAAATATATTGATTTTTATTTAAATTTATAAAAAGAATAATTTTTAGATAAAAATTAATTAAGGAAAAAATCTAATTTTATTTTTTGTGATTTAATCTATAATAATTTTATTATTTATTTTAATATAATAGATTAGGATAATTAAAAAGATTATATATATTTAAAATATTAATTATAGGTATTTTCTTATAAAATATAAAGATAATAAAAAAGTTCCAAATTTAATTTATAAAGAATCGGATTATTTCATAAATTAAGATTAAATATATAATAAAAATAAAATAATTCTCTTTAGGATTATTTTGAATTTTATTTTAAATATATTAACATTATATTAAAATATTTAATAGGGAAAAAAAAATTATTAAAGATTTTTTTGGGTATAAAATATTATTAATATATATATTAATATAAAAATAAAAATAAATATAAAAATAAAATTAATTTAAAATAAAATAAATATAAAATAAAATAAATATAAATATAAAATAAAATAAAATAAAATATATATATATTTTGATATGTATATTATATTTATTTAATATATTATTAAATATAATTTTGAAAATAATATTTAATATAATTTATATATTTTTTTATAATTATTTTTTTAAATATTATTTAATATATATTTTAATATAAATTTAAATATTTGTTTATTTAATTTTTCTTTTATATTAAAAATATATATATACATAAATTAATATTGTGGATTATTAATATTTTCTCATGTTAATTTATGTTCTTAATAAAATATTATATAATTTTTTATAAATATTTAATTATAAATTATTTATTTGTAATAATTAGTAAAATAATAATTTATAGAATTCTTTTCGCACTAGGTTTTTATTATTATATATATTCATCGATATTAATATAATTAAGAATATATTATTTTTTTTCGAAAAAAATATATAGTCCTTTTTAGGATATCTTTTAGGTTTAAATATGATTTAACCATAAATATTATTTTGCTAGATTATATTGCATAAATCATATAATTATATATAAATTTCATAATAATAATAGATATTTTATTATAAATTTATTTAATATCCATATTTACTATTGTAATTTATTTTAGATTATTTATACTTTATTTTTTTATTTGTTAACAAAGATAACAAAGAAAAAAAAAAAATTTATTACAAATTTTATATCGATATTATGTTTCTAATTATTAATATAAATGTCAACTTAATTAATATTTAATATAAAAATCATTTTTTATTCTTGTAATAAATTAATATATATTTAAATATTCAATCTAAGTTATAAATAATTAATATATTTATCATTTTATGTATATTTATTAAATATATAAAATTGTAAATTTTTTTATAGTTATGAGAATAAATTTCATTTTTTTTATAATATGTTTTTAGTTTATTATTTTTATTATATAATAAATATAATATATAATTTTAAAATTATAATTTTTAATATTATGGCAGAAAAAAAAAATTATTTAAACATAAATAAACAATTTTATTTTATATAAGTACAAATATATACTATTATATATATATTTGGCTTTACAAAATATATTCAAATTAATTAATGAATGAATTAATTAATTATTTTTTTCTTATATTTATTTAATTTTATATTTCATCTATTAATATTTAAATATTTTTTATCGACATCTTAAGGTACAGCTTTTAAAATTCTGACTATATTATTATATTGTATTAAATATTTTTTTTTATATATATGTATTTTTGTTTACAGTCATTAGTTAAAAAAACATATAAATTAATTAATATGTGTTCTTAATTTTATGGATTTTATTAACAATATTCAAGAATTTCATTCATAAAATATGTTAGTGCTTATTCATAATAATTAATTTCATCATATTTAGAAAAAGAATATGAATAAAATATACTTGCGAATTAATAATTTTTATATGATTGTTAAATCTTTTTTATATATTTTTTTTCATTTAAAATTATTAGTTATAGTAAATAATTTTTTTTGATTTTATAATAATTACTTTTTAATAAAAATGGAAAAATTCTTCTAATTGTTTTTTTGTTTAATATACTTAGTTTTTGCCTAAATAAAATTGTATATTGAATTCCTATATATATAAATTTTAAATTAGTTTTTTTCATTTTTATTTCTACTTTTGTTATTGAATTATAATTGTAATTTTAGACTATTATATGTATGTCATTAATTTATTATTATTTTATGTTTTCGTATTTTAAAGTGAATAAAATATTTTTCTTAAATTGATTTGATATTGAAGGTGCAGCTGATATTAAAGAAGATTCCATTTTATTTATTAAAAATTAATATTTTTTTTTAAAAATTAATATAATAAAAATTTTATAATTTTATATTTATAAATTTTTTAAATATTATAAGATATTTAAAATTTCAATTAATATAAATTAATAATCATTTTTTTAATTATAAAAAATTAGTATATTATAAAATTTTCTTTAATTTGGAAAAAAAAAAAAGTATATATATGTTTTTTATTAATTTATTAAAATATTTAAATTTTACAATTTTTTTTTTTTATAATTTAATAATTAAAATTTTATATTTCCTTTATTTTAATATAATTTTTTTTAGCCTAGTTTTTGATTTTATAATTCATTTATAATTTTAAAAAACAAATCGTAGTTTTTAAATTTAATAAAAAATAAAAGTAAATAAATTAAAAACTAATAATGAATTAAAAAAAAAAAAAAAATCAAAAACGTTCAATTAAAAAAATTCTTATTTTTGCGATTCCATTATAATATAAATAAATAAATAAAAAAATTATTTATAAAAAAAAAAAAATGAATTAAAAAAAACTCTTGGTCAAGAAAAATATTTTAAATTAAAATAATGAAAAAAATAAGCCTTAATCTTTGTAAAAAAATATTGATCTTAATAAATAAAAATAAATCAATAAAGTAAGAAAAAAGAAAATACTTCTGTAAAAAAAATTAAAATTGAATAATTAATAAATAAAAGAAGACACTTCAGAACAATGTACCTATACTTAAGATTTTATAAACTTAAAAAATAAAATAAATTAAAATAATTAGATTTTATAAAACTGTATATAAATAAATAAAATAATATTCGGATTTGTACTTATATAAAATTAATTAAATAATAATGATGAATTAACAAGAATAAGTTAGTTATAAGAATATTAATAAAAAATAGATAAAATAAAAGATATTATAGGAGAAAACATATTTAATTAATTAGTTTAATTTTCAATTAATAAGGCTATTTAAATTTAATAATAATATCACTTTTAATCTTTATAAACGTAAGAAACTTTAACTAAAAATTCTTAAGAAGTAATAGATGATACAGAGGAAGAAATGGAAGAATATTAATTTAATATTATTTAAACTGTCCCTAAAATTTTTAAGCAAATGCTTTTATAATATGTAATGAATAATATTTATAATTTAAGGAATATTATATAATAATATATACAAGAATAGTAAATATCTTAGTAATGAATTTTTCATATATATGGTTTTTAATGTTTTTTATATATATTTTTTTTAAAAAATGAACATTTTTTAAATATTTTAATGCCCTTAGGAAATAAAATTATTTAAAAAATTTATTAAAAATAAAAATATAATTTCAATAATTATAAAAATAAGTAAGAATATATGTTTTTTTCAAAAAAAAACAATAATAATAAGTTTATAAATATATTTATTTACTTTATGTTTTTTAAAATTTTCTGTTTTTTACTATTTAATATTAAAAAACAATTATATTTTGATTCTTATCATTAAACAAGAAAAAAAAAACCCAGAAAAAATTATAATTATCTATATATATTTTTGTAAATAAAAACATAAAAAAAATGTAAATATATAATGACAAAATTACATTATTATATGGTAGAATACAAGTTGTTTTATATTAAATAAATATTTTAGAAAAGCGAATATTATTTTAATTATTGTAAAATAAATGGAATCAATTGAAATATTATAATTGATTTATATAATATTCATTATTTTTTTTTATAATTATAATTTAAAAAATAAAATTATAAGTATATATTATTATTATATAATATTTTATTATATTTTTTTTTTAAAAAAAAAAAAAAAAACTGTAGTTTAATAGAGATATATAATTATATTTTAAATTAAATTAAAACAAAAAAAGAAAAAAATCAGATAAAATGAGTTTTTAAGTATATATATTAATTTCTTTGTTTAATAAAGACATAAAAAAAGACAACAGATTCAAAAAAAGAAGAATACAGAAAATATTTAGAAAAAGCAGGAGTTGTTGATTAATTGACAAGAGTTTTAGTTGGATTATATGAAGAACCTAATAAACCAGGCAATGCAATTGAGTAAAAAAATGAATATTTAATTTAAATAAATAAAAAAAAGTTATATTAAAAAATATTTGGGATCACCTACTGATATTGATGTTGAACGATTATAAGTTGAATATGAAAAACTTAAAGACGAAAATTCTAGGCTTAAAAAATAAGTTGAAGATCTAAGAAAAGAAGTAAATATTATATATATATATATATATATATATATATATATATATTATCTATTATATTAATTATTTTTTATTAGTTAGAAACTTTAAAACCAGAAGATAATTGAAAATATATAATTTTATTTTTAAATGTTTAACTTTTATATAAGCAATAAAATTTCATAATTCTTATCTTTTTTTTAATTAAATATTAAATATTCTTTCTTTTTTAATAAAAAAATAAAAATATAGGAATATATATTTTTTATATATATATTGTATTTAAATATATTGAAGAGAATAAAGCAACTTAAATTTTTTATATAATTTTATTATGTTTATTAACTATTATTTTTGTAATATGTAATAAAAATAATAATAAATGGATTATTTAAATATTAAAAATATAATTTATTATTATTAATTTTTTCAAATATTTATGTGATTAATTCTTATAAATTAAGATAAATTAACTAATTATTATTAAATTTAATTTTCTTATTTTATTAATTTAAATAAAATTAAATTAGATTAAAACTATAATCATTTATTTATATATTCTATATATAATTGATATAATCATGTTTATAAATTTATTATTAGATTCCATATAATTTAAGATATAAGAAAAACTAAATTATATAATGCTTAAAATTAAATATATAAATTTATTTATTTTAAAATGTATTTTTAATAATTAAAACTTATTTAAAAAATAATAATTATTTATTTCATATATATAGTTTTTTTAATAGTTTATATCATTTTAAAAAATATGATTAAATCTAAGTTAAATTTGATATATAGATTAAAAAAAATTATCAAAATTGAATAATTTGTTTTAGAAAATATAGTTTTCGAAATAAATATAAAGCAAATAATTTTAATATTTATTATTGTTAATAAATAAATAAATAACATTATTATTATTATTATTATTATTATTATTATTATTATTATTACTATTGATAATAATATTTTGATTTTTCTTTATTTTTTATATATAATAGTGTTTTTTATTATTTTAGTTCTATTTTTATTAAAAAATATTGATACTTTAAATAATCTTTAATTTCTTATTATTCTTTTTTATAATATCAATTAATTTTTTTTTTCTTTTATTTATATTAATAAAATCTTTTTTTTTTATCATTTTTATATTTAGCTTTTTATTATTATTTAAATGTTTATTTTATTTATATGTTTAAAAAACAACTCACTTTAACTTTTTTTTTTCTGTTGTATAATTTTTTAGAAAAAATTTATTTATCGTAATATTTTTTTTATAATATTTTAGTTATTTTAAAAAACTTTTAATTGCATAAAATTCTCATTAATATTAATGAAAACTAATTTTTTTATCTAAATATTATTATATTTACGAATTTATTTTAAAAATTTATTAATATATTACATTTAAAGTAGCATAATGATTAATAAAAAATTATAATTTTCATTCTTTTCTTTTATAAAAATGTTTCTTTAATCCATAATCATTATCTTCTGATTAAAAAGATATTTTTTGTTTTAAAAATATTTATTTATTTTTTCTTGCTTTTATTGTATAATAAATTATTAATTACACTATTATTATGTATATATTTAATTTTTTTCCCTGGTTTATCTATATTATTCAATTTCTCATTAATTTTGTTTCGCTGAAATTATAAGAAATCCTATTTATAAACGAACGAAATCGAAGTTTTTTAAATTCCCTAAATACGCTTTAAAAATTAAGCTTATTTTTTATTTTAACAATTGCTTTTTCTATACATTATATAACCGAAATAACGGCATTTAAATCCTATATTTTAATTCATTATATATTTATAAAATATAATTGTTTTATAATAATATTTAAAAAATATAATGGTTAATTGATGCTTTTTAAAAAATAATTTTCTATTTCTATGTTTTTAATGTTGAACATGTTTAATTAAAATTTAAGTATGTATTTAAGTGTAATTTTTAGTTCCAAATCAATTTTTATGATATTTGAAATATAGTTGTTTTTAAGGTTTTTTTTATAAAAATTTTAATTTTTTATTTTCATTTAGACATTTTATGTTGATATTTTATTTGAATTATTTGGTAATGGAAATTGCCATTTTGCGCCTATTATTAAGTCTAGCGTATTTTTTGGTATTTAGGCTTGTTTTTTTAAAATGAATAATCATAAGTTTGAATTATATATTTCTTCATGTCATCTATAGGCAATCTAATATATTTTTTTTTAAATAAATAGATTTTTTTTTTCGAAAATAAATAGTTAGGGGATAGTTCGATAGAAAAATTTTATTCCTTTTTTATTAATATACAATATATTATAATTTAATTTAAAATATAACAGATAAAGAAAACATTTATTTCTAATATATACTTTTTTAATAAAATAAATAAATTTAAGAAATGGTAAATTAGATATGTTAAAATTATTTTAAACTAATTTAATGAAATTATAAAATATATATATATATATATATATATATATATAAATATAAATTTATATATATATATATATATATATATTTATGATAAATATTATTATATATTATTTTCGTTAAAAAATAAGAAAAGGCTAATCTTCAATCTGTTAAGAAGCCAATATTATCGATTTATCTTTAATTATAACCTTCATATTAATATTAAGAATCATCAATATAATCATCTGTTCTTTTATGGAAATCATTTTCATTGCTAAAAACGTTATTAATATATTCTTTTATAACTTGCTTATAGAGTTCAATTTCTTATATTATTTCATTAATTTTTTTTTAGAACCATATTCTTTATTCTTCTAATTCTTTTTTTGACTATTCTATACGTTTATTAATTTCATCGAGTTATTTTTTACACTCTTATTATAATTTTTATTAGAAAAGAATTTTATTTCTTAATTCTTTTTCATTTTTAATTTAAATTTCTAATTCACTTTACATCTCTTCATTTTCCTTCATAATTTTAGCTTTAAGTTCAGCTAAAGCTACAGCTGCAGCAATTTCGTCATTTTACAGTTTTTACATTTTACTAAGAATACTTTTTTCTAATTAATCTAGTAAATCCAATAATTCTTATTAGTGCGAGTTCCAAAATTTTCTTGATCCAATTTTGAAATTTTATAAATTTAAATTTTCTTTTGTATTATCTATATGTTTAATTCCTATTTCTTCATCTAAAAATATTTTAAAATAAATATATTTAATTTTTATAAATACTTGATCTTCCTTATACAGAATAATCAGCATTAATTTCATATTATTCATCAGAAATTTATTAAAGAAGATTTTTTATAGTTATTTTCTTTATAGTTTTATAAGAAAATATTTAGCTTATCAGTTAATTTGATTCTCTAGAATAATGAAAATTCACTCTTTTAACTAATAGAAAATTTCAAGAATTTTATAAATTATAAAGCTAATTTATCATTTTTGTAGTATTTCTACAAAATTTTTATTTTTTGTACAACTTTATTGTTCTAAATTATACAAATATTCAAGATTTTGAGCTAATCTATCTTTTATGTAATTAATATATTCAATCATTTATTAATTTTCATTTACAAAATTATCTAGCTTAATATTACAATTTCTTGACATTCTGCTTTTTGTTAGCTCTATTATTCTTCAGTATGGGTTATTTAATCATTTAAAGATTAGTTCAATTATTTCCATTATTCTTAAAGGTCTTTAAGGTTATTTTATTAATCATGTAACATATCGACTAAAAGTTCTAATGCAAAGCCAATGTTGTTTTATATTTATTCTATTTTTTAATTAAAAAAAATAAATAATAATTAAATAATGAATAATACCATTAGTGTTAATTAATGGATGAGAAGGAGAAGTAGGTTGTGAATTTGGTTGTATTACTATAGGAGATTTTGTTTCAGAAAACTCAGAAACAGGTGGTCTTACTGTAAGAGATTAAGGTACAGATAACTCAGAAAGTGGTGGTCTTCCTGTAAGAGGTGTTTCTACTGTAAGAAGTGGTTCTCCTGTAAGAAGTGGTTCACCTGTAAGAGGTTGTTCTCCTGTAAGAGGTGGTCTTCCTGTTAGAGCTGTTTCTACTGTAAGAGATGGTTCTCCTGTAAGATGTGGTTCAACTGTAAGAGGTGTTTCTACTGTAAGAGATGGTTCTCCTGTAAGAAGTGGTTCTCCTGTAAGATGTGGTTCTCCTGTAAGAGGTGGTCTTCCCGTAAGAGGTGTTTCTAATGTAAGAAGTGTTTGACCTGTAAGAGTTTGTTCTCCTGAATCAATTTATGTTACTGTGAGAGGTGGTCTTCCTGTAAGAGGTTGTTCTCCTGTAAGAGGTGGTCTTCCTGTAAGAGGTGTTTCTACTGTAAGATGTTGTTCTCCTGTAAGAGGTGGTTCACCTGTAAGATGTGGTTCAACTGTAAGAGGTGTCTCTAATGTAAGAGGTGGTCTTCCTGTAAGAGGTGTTTCTAATGTAAGAAGTGTTTCACCTGTAAGATGTGGTTCAACTGTAAGAGGTGGTCTTCCTGTAAGAGGTGGTTCACCTGTAAGATGTGGTTCAACTGTAAGAGGTGTTTCTAATGTAAGAGGTGGTCTTCCTGTAAGAGGTGTTTCTAATGTAAGAAGTGTTTGACCTGTAAGAGGTTGTTCTCCTGAATCAATTTATGTTACTGTGAGAGGTTGTCTTCCTGTAAGAGGTTGTTCTCCTGTAAGAGGTGGTCTTCCTGTAAGAGGTGTTTCTACTGTAAGAAGTGTTTGACCTGTAAGATGTGGTTCAACTGTAAGAGGTGGTCTTCCTGTAAGAGGTGGTTCACCTGTAAGATGTGGTTCAACTGTAAGAGGTGTTTCTAATGTAAGAGGTGGTCTTCCTGTAAGAGGTGTTTCTAATGTAAGAAGTGTTTGACCTGTAAGAGGTTGTTCTCCTGAATCAATTTATGTTCCTGTGAGAGGTTGTCTTCCTGTAAGAGGTTGTTCTCCTGTAAGAGGTGGTCTTCCTGTAAGAGGTGTTTCTAATGTAAGAAGTGTTTGACCTGTAAGATGTGGTTCAACTGTAAGAGGTGGTCTTCCTGTAAGAGGTGGTTCACCTGTAAGATGTGGTTCAACTGTAAGAGGTGTTTCTAATGTAAGAGGTGGTCTTCCTGTAAGAGGTGTTTCTAATGTAAGAAGTGTTTCACCTGTAAGATGTGGTTCAACTGTAAGAGGTGGTCTTCCTGTAAGAGGTGGTTCACCTGTAAGATGTGGTTCAACTGTAAGAAGTGTTTCTAATGTAAGAAGTGGTCTTCCTGTAAGAGGTGTTTCTAATGTAAGAAGTGTTTGACCTGTAAGAGGTTGTTCTCCTGAATCAATTTATGTTACTGTGAGAGGTTGTCTTCCTGTAAGAGGTTGTTCTCCTGTAA